TATATACATTCAAAAAATTTGTCGCTTACTAGGTATTGCACTGGAGCAGCCGAATATCGACATCGAAATATGTACTGGATTTTTTTGAGTGAAGTTTTTGAGCTCGCGTCATGTCACTACTGAGTGATTAAAATTGATTTGTTAATATCCAAAATAGCTTCTTATCTTAAGAAGCGCGCTTACTGAACTGTCCTCTTAAGTCAATATAAGTAATGGTTTATTAAGTTCATTTTTGCTTGTGAAGCTTGCATTGAAATTATAAGTAAATGCAACGAAATGTTGCACAATTTATTATCATTCACTTTTCAAATAGATATAATTATCTATTGTAGACAAAATAGATATTGCTGGGTAGAGTGCAATAAAACATGCTTAATGTAATTCTTTTTGTTATGATATCAAGTGACAGAATGAGCAAGTTGTGCACGTGGAGGTAAGCACACTATCCATAACAGTTGCAGTGCCGCTCAGAGCTTTAAATTGGAAAAAAATGTGGGGGTAAATAAAGACAAGTCTCATGTGTCCTTTCAAAACCGAAACACATTAAGAGTCTATGCACACGACATATTATATACGCGCCGCAGACGCGCAGTAGACGCACGTATGTATCGCGCATTTTGATTTATAAGAGATAGTTTTAATTCTAGTTTTGTTTATTAATTTCAGTTAGTTTTTGAAATGAAGCAACTACATGAAATTCTAAGTGTAAACCCAGTGGAGTATTTAAGCTTCTTGCTTGCAACGCGATGTCTGCGCGCGTTTGAATCGATTCACTACAGCGGGTCTCCGGCGCGTATACGTGCAGATAACGCGCGTTTACGGCGCCGTAAACGCGCGCTCGTGAAACGCGCGTTGTCGGCGCATGTAAAATACGCCGTGTGCATCTCTAAGGTCACATTACTTCATTTCTGTAATTGTTTTGAAAAAAGTCTACAGAAAAATGAACTCAAATACCAATGGCATGAAATCGAATATCAAATCGACACCAGCAACACTACGCTAACTTAAAAATGCAACTTTTCACATAACTTTTAATTTTCAGACATATAGTAATGATTTTTTACTACATTGTTACTCAAAGATTATAAAACATTTATGATTATTACTTTTACTATTAGGTACTTTCTTTTAATTTAATTTAAATTAGCTGAATAATTTGCTATTAAAAACGCAAATTCGACAAAATTCGAGTTAGGGTAGTGTTAATTGCTGGTGTAGAAGTGAAACACCAATACTTTGTTGCACATTACAAAGCAAAATAAAACAAGTAACAGAGCAGGTTAAATATTATTATGGAACATGTTTCCTTACTTCCAAACAGTGAACAAAGTACTTCCAATCCATGTCTTGCTTACTAGACTGAAAGTTGAGAAAAAAACCACAACTTGTAAAATTTCATAATCATCTCAGACATACTACAATTGCTAAGAATATTTTTGTAAATTTTTTATCATATATGGACTACCAGGGCTGGTTGTCAAAATGCATTAAAATGTTACAGGGTATGGAACAAATCAAATCATGGTACACAAGGCACACATACAACAAATATAATTAAAAGAAGTTGAACATTTCTCTAAGATTGTATATTTATGTATATTGGTTATATATGCATGTGTATTTAGTAATGTCTTCTTTTGTACCAAATCATTGGGGATAGTACAAATCCGCGTATGTAGTATTGGTAAAGGGCACGTATCTGCACCAAACCAAATTTCACGGGATGGGAATTTAACATTATTACTTTGTTATTTTAATGGCTACGACTTTTTTGTATAGTAAGCATTAATTTGGGTGCTACGACATTTACGCGGTTTTGATTTGGCCACTAAATGACCGAAATGGAAACTCATAATCAAATGCTAGTTACGCATAATTGCACTTTACTATTTTAACTTTTTTTTCATGGTTTATTATTGGTGTGCATCACCATTTCACAATTTTGTTATCGTATTTTGAGGTTAACTATGTCAGTGACACAATGATCATATATTCACCAAAAAAATTTATTATAAATTTTAATTGTGTAAGTATATTATTGTTTGTAACCAAAATATATTTAAAAAATTATGATATTTATCACCAGCTCTCCCGTTTTATATTATAGCGGCAGTTCACAAGAATTTACAAGAAACCACTATTTTTCACTTGCCACATGTCTTCATATAAGATTTTATACTTAATATACAAGCTGTAAACTTATCTGTAGTAAATTGAACAGCATTATTTACATTTGGTTCCAATACAAACACCATAAAAAGAATTACAATATAAGTATCATTGCATATGTAACCACACCAACCAAGAAAAAACTTTCATGCAACTCTAAAACAAAAGTGCCACAAACTAAAACACACAATAACTTGCTTGTCAAATATCATATCTGCTGTCTATGTGGCCTATTTATCTGCAAATATATATAAACAGTTATTTGTGTCAGAATTCACAATTATACTCTTGTGAACATATTCATTCTGTTGAGATAAGACAGGACTTAAGGACCTTACACAATATAAGGGCAATACGTATTATGATAGTTTTGGTGTAATTGCATTTCTAGTTACAAAACCACATGACTGAACAAACAAATTGTGCGCTTGATGGTAAGCAACACACCTGTCCATAATACTTGTACTGCCAATCTGAGGACCATTGCCACTGCGTCCGTCACCCTGAGACATAAGTTAACAAGCCTCAAGTGGCTGTAATTTCACCAACACCCTTACCCTCCAAAACTGGAATGCAGTAATGCTCACATTACGGTAAGATGGCAGTACTTTGCTGGACAAACTCTTTCACAAGGAGTTCTACTTCTTATAATATAAATAATCTATCAATATTTATGCATATTTACAGCTGATAATTAGTAGTATTAAATGTACATGCTTATAATAGATCTAATGCTAAATTAACATTGCAGAATTACCTTAAAAAGAAGAAAATGATATGATAAATGAATGGCAACACACACTTCGGCCATATATAGAGATACGACAGTACTTGGAGTCCGGGCATGCCAGACAACGCCATATAAAAATTTTGGCGGATCTACAAAGTTACAAAAAAGTCAACAGACGAACAAGCACGAACAGCTACGTACAAAAACAATGTACTATAAAGCTGAAAATGACTATTTATGAAACAGTTGCGCAATAATTGATCGAAAATCATCTACAATGATCAACTGGAAAATTACGATTAGAAATATTACCTGGTTTCAGTCGTATTTAATTTCAATTCACTACCCATTTGGACACTGATAGTTTTAGAACTAACATATCACGTATATAGCCAATTTGTAAATAATTTATAGATTATCAAGTGAACTCGTACTCCCCAGATCAAAGCGTAAAACAAAATGCTAAAAAATTTTGTGCATGCTCAATTAAAAAGATGTCAATGTCATTGTCATTGTCACATTTGACATAAAGGTCAGTGTGCGTTCGCATTCAATAAGTAAATAACCAAAACTGTCAGATTTTTTACCTTTTGTATAGTAAGATTATAAACTCTTTTCTTCTATTATACTAAAGCCATTGATAATTAGAATAAGTCAATGATTAGAATGTACTTTTTTTCTTATTAGGTTAAGCGGCAATTTTATTTACATACCCTCATAAAATATGCGAAACAAAATAAAAAAAATAGTACTATACATTTCGAACAGTTCTGTACTCAATTTTTTATTCTTCTCACGGTCGTAGTATTTTTACCCAATGATAGATGTTGATTGAACTTAAATAGAACTACATACTTTAAACATTTAAAACTTAAATAAAAACTCAAAAGACTTCGTTTCACAACTATTTCACACTTACGTACATAAATTATTATACATACTTAAATAAGTATTGTGTTATATGTATACGATTACCATGACGATATTAGACAAAACACAGCTGCTTTCAGACACAGCAAATACAAAAAAAAGATTCATCTAAGTTTTAACACTAATCGGCTAAAATGCAAATATCATCAGCTCAGCCGGTGTTTAAGTTGGAACTCAATCATAAAGTAACGCCTGGCGTAGTGACCATTGCAAAATACGATGGCACCCATCCATGCCTCACTGCATGCGCTGGTTACGACAAAGTACTTGTTAAAAAATTCATTTAAAGTTATACTTAACAATCATTCCAATAAGTGCACACTTTGCGAAAGTCCAATTTATTTAATGTGTGATACTAGGTACTGCTATGGAACGCCTACGCAAATTATTATAGCAATTCTTAGTACAAACGTAGGTTTGTCGTATGATTTCAGTTGAAATAAATACGTCTTCTTTCTAATTAATTTATCTGCAGATAATAATCTATCACCCTCACGGTGGCGTAGTCGGCGGTCGAGCGCAACGTTCGCAGGCGCACAGCGAGGTGTCCGAGCTGAACCTCAGCCAGGCTGTGATCGCGCTCGCTGCTGGCCCTTTGCGCCCTGATAGCACCAGAGACATGCTGCTAATTGGATCCCCTACTCAGATTTTAGGTAACGGATTAGGACTGATCTGTCTGCAAACACCTTGATTCATTTGCACTAATATTCCCATTTTAGGAAGCGCTTGCAATTAATAAGTGAATGATCCTGTATGATCCACGTATAATGCTTTATCTGGGCAGAATATGAAGCGAGTTTACATGAGAGATAGTCGAATTAAATTAGTAACATCTATTTGTTTTCAGCTTACGACGTCCACGATAACACAGATCTATTCTTCAAGGAAGCACCAGACGGTGTTAATGTAATAATATCGGGTAGTTACGGTAAACGGCACGAGACACTTGCCATTGTTGGTGGTAATAGCTCAGTTCAAGGTCTTAACTGGGAAGGCACTGAGGTTTTCTGGAATGTTGTCGGCGGAAAGATTTGTTCTATGATTGCATTTGATTTCGATAAGGATGGGGAAAATGAGGTAAGAATATACATATACGAAGGTTATGCCAAAAGAACTTAGATACTCTATAATAACTTGTTTCATACTGGCAAGTTATACACCGTCGTAAAGCCAGGTTATTTGCTAATAAATTTGAAAATGGAACACGTCTTAAATCAAATTCTTTTTTATTTTATTTTTTTGGAGCTATCTCGACGTGATTTTCGTGTTATGATTTATTATGACTACAAAAAAGGTTTAAATCCGCAAGAATGTTTTGAACTTTTAGCCACAACTCTTGGTGATACTGCTTGTTTACGAGCTAGAGTTTTCAATTGGTTTGCTGAATTTAAAAGAGGACGGGGAAGTTTTGAAGATGAGGCGAAGTCAGTTCGGCCGCCAACCGCAGTTACTCAAGAAAACGTTCAAGCTGTCGAAAAAGTAATTCGTGAAAACCGACGAACTACATATGTAGAGCTTGAGCAAGAACTGGGCATTGGAAACTATTATTCACGGGCAACTGTCCCTCCATAAGCGTTGTTCGAGATGGGTTCCGCACAAACTTAACGATGAGCAGAGGGATGAAAGAACCCGTGTGGATTGGTGCAAATGTATGATAGATAAATTCGACCCTGGCGAGAAAAAAAACGTTTGTGATATACTGACAGGTAACATGGTTATATAACTATGATCCTGAAACAAAGCAACAGTCCACTGTATGGTGCTTTGATGATGAGCCGACGCCAACGAAATGTCGTCATATACACGAAGCACACAGAAACTTTTTAATCTGGATGTCGGGACACATTTGCTACTGTGGTGCTAGAGGATCAATGGACAGTTAACTATGAATGGTATATAACAGTTCATCGAGTATATAACCAGAAATAGTGACTAAATAAGAGCCATATATTCTTGGTAACACATTAGTGATACAGCTCTTATAAAACCACAAGCCAGGCAGCTATCAACGAAGGGGATGAAAAAACCTCGTGTACCTGTCTCTGAAGTTGCAAAACCACAGAGGCAGACGGCCCGGTGCGACGATGACGGCTTCACAAAGGTGGAGAAGAAGAAGAGGAAGCCCACCAGCCGTAACCTGTGCGGCACTGCACCGACAGGGTCCAACTTTTTGCTGCGTCCGGCAATCCCGACAACGCTGCTGTACCTGTCACGCCTGCATTACTCCACGAAGTCTGAGGAGATAGTGGAGTACATCAGGTTGAAATCCAAATACACCCTGAGGGTCGAGCGGTTGGAGTCCCGCCACTACGTGAACTTTAATTCGTTTGTGGTGAGAGTGCCGACCGAACATCTGTCGACCTTCATGAAGGAGGAGTTCTGGCCGAAGGGTGTCCTATACCGGCGATTCCGTGGCCGGTTGCCTGACACCAGATGGCGCCACACGTCGCCGACAACCTAAATACGTGTTAAATTAGTAATTAGTGTTATATTATATTGTTATGTATGTTAGTCTGTAAGGTATGTATCTATGGGTCTCAGTAACCTGAATATAAATAAATAAATAAATAAAAAATAAAATAAAATAAATGAAATATAGACAGGCCAACTACTGACCTGTGTGTACGTCTCCGTATATCCCAAAAAATATTCTATATTTATTGTAATAAAGATAATATCTCTAACAATGCCGCGCTGTTCTATTCGGTGGTGTGGGAAAAACAGCAAAACATCTAATTACAAAACAAACGGAATCACATTTCATCGGTAATTAAATATTAAATATGTAATTTTGCAATTTTCGTCCATTGTAGCAAAGCTTAAGTTAACTGGTCGATTTGAAGTGAAACAGTTGACGACACCCGTCAATTGTTTCGAACTCGGGCTAGCCAATCGGAGAGCAGTTGTCACAGTAACGATATGGCAGAATAGTTTTCAAATAAATTAAATGACATTTCGTCTCTATGTCTTATATTCTCGATGTAACAGTTTGTGCCCCAAAAGTCTTGTCAGCTTGGTGTGACAAGCGGCCGAAGTCTGGAATTCAGCACCTCCTCTGGCATCACGACAATGCCACTCCGCACACTTCTGCTAGAAAACTCGACTATTTTCATTAAAAAAATGTACCTGTCTCACCCGCCATATTCCCCTGACCTAGCCTTGTGATTTTTACCTCTTTCCAAAAATTTAAGAAAAATGAAAAGGCAAGCGGTTTGAAAACAAAGAAGATGCCTTGGCTGCTTATAACTTGAAGATTTGTGAGATATCTAAAGAAGATTGGTCATCGATATTTTCCAAGTGGTTTAGACGAATGGAAAAGTGTATACGTGTTCATGGTGAATATTTTGAAAAAATCGGTACCTGTAATAAGGAATAAATTTTATAATTTTTGGAAATCTTATTTCTTTTGGTATGACACTCGTAGGTACATAACGAAATTGTAATTAATTTTTAATTACTACTTTAGTCTCTAATCACTTTGCAAATTGTTCTCGTAAAGCTCATAATCGGTTGCGAAGATTCTTTTATCCGGGTGCTGAAGAATAACCAGTTCATAGTTGAGTTGCCAGAGACTGGATCAGTCTTATGTCTATCGCCTATCACTGACGTGCGATTCGCGTATGGCTTGGGTAATGGAACTATTGGAATTTATGAAGAAGGAATACGATTGTGGAGAGTCAAAGCAAGTAATCTGTCTGAAATGTTTGTACAATTTTCAACGCAACAAACTTATCGAATAATCACCATTCTATTTTCGTAGTCGAAGCAGAACGCTCTTTCCCTGCAATGGTCAGGCGAGACTTTGGCTTGCTGTTGGGGCAATGGCCGAGTGGATTGGCGTTCAGGCGCCACGGGAAAAGTCTTGCGGCGTGTCCAAATGCGGTCTGCGGCCGCTGCCATGTTACTCGCTGATTATCGTTCTGTGGGTGCTCCAGACCTTGTTTGTGTTTCAGATAAAGGGGAAGGTTGGTTTTAGCTGCTCCTTAGAGAACTTACTTTGTGCTACTACAATACAATAACCCGTTCTCTCTTACGTTATTATGTACCAGTCTCATAGAATATTTTAAACGTCTATTTACCTACTTTCTGCAGTTCTCGGTTACACCCCATACCAAGAAGCAACAGGTTTCAACGCTGCCAAGAAAATGTCTTCAGAGGAAGATAGAGCGGCTATCACAGAACTGTTTAACAAGAAACAAGCGTTGATGATTGAGTTGCAACATTACGAAGCGAACTTTAACTCGGCTAGTGGTTCTACGAGTGTTGAAGACCGATCGTCGACGGCTATGCCCACCAATACGAGACTGCAAGTTGCTGTTACGCCATCGATTGATGAGGTCAGTAAAGACCGCTTGCTTATACGATTTAGGTATTTTGAGTTCCTTTTGTACTTGGTTCCTTAAATCTAGTTATTAGGTACGTAAACGTGGTGATGCAGAATGGGACAAGTGTATGGTAATACACTTGTCCCACAAATGACATTATCGATTTGCATTGTGAACCTGAATTTTTTAAGTTGCAGGCAACCCTGACCATGTACTTAATAGTATATATACCTACTTACATGACATCACACAACAGGGTTCTCTAGAACTAGCGATAACAACAACAAACGAGACTATAGTTCGCGCTGCACTAATTCTGGCTGAAGGCGTGTTCGAATCTGGCGAGACGCTGGCTCGTCATCCCACACCTACGCAGCTGCGATCTCTGCTGCAGGTTTCTCTGCGGCCGCCCAGGGATGTGCCCATTGACGTACACATTAAGGTATTTCAAATTTAAAGTGTCTAGATATCTTGGTTGAGCTTTTATTTAAAAAATATTTTATATACATACTATAGTAGTGGTATACACAAATCTCGCGATTATTTAAAAGTTAAATCCAAGTAGCTAGAAAGTTTAATATCGCATTCATATTATTAGGTCTAATGACCTAATTCAAATCAAAGTATCCAAAGAGCAGCTGTAACATAAATTCAAAAACAAAAGTGTTTTGGTATACTTACATGTTGACGATCATTTACATTGAGATGGTTTTTTGAGTTGAATGTGCTAGAATTAAGTATCTAACAAATGTGTCACAGATAATTATATGAAATTGTTGTTTAAAGTTTTATAAAGTTATGAGAATATTTTATACTGCATGGTTTGCATTAATATTTGTAGCCGCCAGACCCAAGTAGAAGATGTAGAGGATCTCGACGAGCTCGTAAAATTAAAGACGATTTAAGTTGACTGTAATATCCCGGCAATAGGTTACGGTTTACAGGAGTAGTGCGATTAATCGCTTGCTTTGGAGGTTTCTTATGAAAGTACAATTCTAAAGTGAACGTGCTTTTTGACGTTTTTTTTATTTCGTACAAAAAGTTCGTTAAGTGGTAAGGATGAAATAATATGTATGTGGTGTTAGTTGATTGTTTCAAAATAGAACCCCCGGCCTACGTATTGAGCCGTTGCCGAGCGTTTAGTTACTGTTTCGAAAGTTATATTAAATTTTATTACAAAAACTCTGTTGCGTTCGCAACATATTAAATTAAAATTGATTGATGATTTTACCATCTCAGTTATTTTGAAAAGAAAAAACTAATATACACGATTTAGATACGAAAAAATAGTTTCATTTCAATTTGTAACAATCGCGAGAACCAGGCTGGTTCCAGAGCAGTGCGGATTTATCAGCAGACCGTCCACGCGGGGCACCGGAGCGGAGCAACACGTGTGGCGTTGGACAGTGACGCGGATTGCTCCGTATGGAACACGCTCCGCGTGACTCCGCACAAGTCACCTGTCTTCCGTGACTTACCGCACTAAATTAAATACTCGATTCAGAGCACTGCGGATTCTACGCATGCGGATGACCCGCAGGTGGACAGTCCGTACGCACAGTTGTGAATAAGGATTTGATATATTTTATTCTTTTCATTCTAGGCTTTAGTGGGTTATGCAGACAGTGAACAGTTTCATATATTTGAACTGACGAAACAGCTACCAAGGTTTGCCATGTACACTTTAACACTCCCTCCCCTGGAAATAAGCAAACAAACTAGATATGTGACATTCAAAATAATGGAAAGAGTACAGAGAATTTGCATTTGGATCAACCAGAACTTTCTACTAGAAGATGATGTTGAACTGGAAACTGAGGACACAAAGGAGCTTCATATAAGCTTTACTTGCTTAAGAGATAGATCCAGGCTGGATATGGATTTTGGAGCTGATGGTCAAGTCAAGATAAGTACGCCAGATATACGGCTGGCTGGAGATTTAATACAGAGCTTGGCTACTTACTTGAATTTGGGTGACTTGCAGGTAAATCTTTTTATTGTGAAAGTGACTGCTCTAACTATTACTTTATGGAAATCAGTCAAATAAGTAATAATATCTATTTTATATGCTCTATAAGACACACAGATTACTTAATAAATTGAGGGTTTACAATGAAAGAAAGAAGTTGCATCTTAAACTTATTATTTCTCACAAAATTAATACATGTAAACTTTAATTCTAATTTCTCAAATTTTACTGACCATATAGTTCAACAAAGCCAACACACTTGATTGGGTTGAAGAAGAACATATTATTATGTGGAGGCTCACGCTGACTGACAGCTTTTACCACCTCTTGGCCAATCACTCCGCCTACAACTGCTGCAGAACATGCTACAGTGCCAAATACATCAGTGAGCAAAGCATCAGTAATAAAGTTTACTGGTATTGACAGCTCTTGTACAAGTTCATCTCGCATTTTCAAAAGAAGTGCAGTATCTGCCTTCCTTTTTGCTGGGTCTGGGTTACGATTCTGTTCATCTCTAAACCGCTGAAGGATCTTTAAAACAAAATACGAGGGGTCCCCACGGCGCGAGCGCAATCTGGACCGCATTTCGGGTTTCGACCAATCTACTGACAGAGCATTTTGTAGTGGAACGTAAATAGCGCGACGTTTAACAGTAATGGTTACAGTTTCTCGTGCATTCTTTTCAGTATCGTCAGCTGCCCGTTTGACAGCTTTGTGTTGAACAATCTCCTCTGAATATTCGTGGTCCACGAGATCGGCGAACATGTAACCAAAGGTGCCCCACACGTCGCCGCACAGGAATTTCTTGTTGTTGTCGCGACAAGCGTTGTTTATGCGTTCGAGTTGTTCTTGCTTAAGTCCTGTTGCGCAAACAATGTCAAATTCTGCAAAGAAGCTATCCGGAAGGTCGTCAACACCTCTAGTTTCCGACGTAACGTCCACCATTGGGTTCAATGCTCTTGCCCTTTGCAATGAAGCTTCGGCTCGGTTCTCGCCAATTTTATCCGGTGGTGCCAAGAATTGTGAATACTGATCAATTTCTTTGACTTTTTCATTGTCTAGCAAGCAAACACTCTTCACTCCCGACAAAATTACATTTTTTGCGATCTCAGCACCAAGACCGGAGATGCCGATGATTAACACTTTAGAAGCGCGCAATCTTTTTTGAGATTCTAAGCCCCATAGCCGAATTTGACGGTCGTACTGTTCTGCTTCCGCTTCGGATAATTCGACATCATTGTTTTCAACCATTTTATTAGCAATTGTCTTGAATTATTATTGAAAATTTCAATAAACACCGCACATTGGAATTATTAATTTGAGTTTGACAGCTCCCACGCCGGTCGGTATGACATGACGCCATTTCGAATAGAGTTACTATGTTGTACGCATTCACATATTTCACCATGAAGCTATCGGTAGTTATTACCGGTTGTAAACGTCTCTATTTCCATAGACAACATAATTTTTGATTCGCTCTGGGCCTTTTTGAGGGAAAAGTGTCGTTTTTATTTTGACTTTCAATTATTTTGTGAAATCTAGTTTAAAGTGGAATAGCATAGTGCTATCGTGCCTTAATCGAAGATTCAATTATTTTGTGAAATCTAGTTTAAAGTGGAATAGGATACTGCTATTGTGCCTTAATCGAAGATTAAAGCGAAATTATGCGAATCTCGAAATAAAATAACCCGTATCGGCCCGTTATAAGGAATCCCGAGTCAATCCAAGCACGCCGTCTCAAATTGCCTATCCTCTTTGTGGCGGCCATATTTACAGAAACATAATTAAACGAAGACATGGCTTAAAGGACTTGTATCCAAGCCAAAATGATTAATAAAAAAATACAACAATTTTAAATCCAATATTGTGGCGCCATTTTACAAAAAAGTTTACACAAAACATTAATACTCAAAGGGTGAAACTAGGTTAGATCCGAGCAATAAACTTTTATTTAAAAATCTTCCTTCGAGTTTCAAGCAAAGTGCATTTGGTTTCAGTCCGTGGCCCAATTTCCAGAAATAGAAGAGAAACTGCGACAAGAAATGGAAGTCGCGTCGCAAGTGGGAGAAATGAGATCTCGTTTAGCGGCAGAAACTGCCGAAAGGGCACAGTTAATCACTGCGTTGTTGCCGGCTGCGGAAGATGCAGCTAATTACGATCTGTACATTGTGTTAAAAATATTTTAAATACTTGCATTTCTGTGCATGCTTGTGTGCTAGAATGGTAGTAAAATAGCAGTTTTTGAAGTCTACTAAAGTGAACCATTTTATATTTTACTTAACAATAGCATTAACAAATTTTTCCTTTCGTACTTAGTTCCTAATTTGAAACGACTTTAAAACAGACTGTTTTATAACTTAATTTCTCTCATCTGTTGAATCTATTATGATTGTGGTGGTTACCTTCACAGGAAAGAAATGTTAAATCGCTACAAAGAAGTAGTTATGCTGAACGAAGAGTTGCTTACCGGGTGTCACATTAGACGAGCTACTCAAGAACAAGCAGTCACGGCGCTCAAGAGCTTGCACACATTGTTACAACACGCAGCTAGACTCCGAGGTAACGAAATTGACTGATAACATTACAAATATGGAACTAAAATTTAGTAAAATAACTAATTTTTAAAGCTTCCCATTCACTATCACACTATTTAATATAATTAAAGGTGAAATCAAATTCAAAACATTCCACGACTGTTCCATACAATGTTCATATTATTATACTTAGATTTAATTAGTGGTAAATATACTGTTGTTATACTTACAGAAGTTGTGCGCTAGAAAAAAAAAACAATTTTTAGGAAATGAAACTATTTTTCCGGATTTAAATCACGTATATTTGTTTTTTCAAAAAAAACCAACGTTTCGGGCCCTTTACAGGTCCCATGGTCACGGTTGACTGCGGTGGTACAGTCTAGTATAACTAGTTGATGACTGTACCAGCCTAGTATAACTTGAACAATCCGTTTATACTATAGGGTCTAAAATTTTTTGGCTCAGCACCCAACCACTCCAATAATTAAATGACATTTTTAATAGTAATATAACACAAAAAAATCACAAGGTAAAAAATTATATGTATATGTAGTGTAGTTTATACAATTCAGGTTTTTTTTCAAATGCAGTTACTTAAAACTAAGAACTCGATAACCTAATTTTTATTACCACAAAACCTACTCTTATTATTGTGTTGGGAATTTAGTAATATTTTCAACTTTGTATTCAAGAATTCTGTATGAGTGTTGTATGGAATAATGTTTTTTGCATATTTTATATATTCATACAGAAGGGTACTATAATCCCTTGACCAATTAATTAAGGATTGAAAAAAAGTTTTGTGTTTGTCACTGAAATAAAAACGAGTTTTTTTAAAGTGGATTAATGTTTTTTTTTAAAGTGGGAAAATACAGCAAAGCAGTCGTAGCCGCGAGCAGGAAGGCAGTTCGCGATGACAACATTGAAGCTCTCATTAAAATCCTGCAAGTCGGGGGAGGCGATTCATGAACTTTGACAATGTGTTTATATAAAAATAATTTATTAATGTATTTCGTTAACAACTATGATTATGAACAATTTACTATACATTAAATGAGCAACATCCAATTTACGGTCTTATTGTTCGTAGTGTAAATTACTTAACTAATTTCAATAATTCACTAAGCAGTTAAAGAAAATAAAAAAAACAACTTTTTAAATAAATGAAAGTCACTCATTTATTTAAAAAGTGACAAGGGCAACGTTACATTTGCTGTAAATTCTGGTTAATATTGTTAACTACACAGTGATCTGCTTAGTGGCATAATGTACGTCATCAACACTAACATTAAGTAAAAGCCTCGGTTCAGCCGGTTTTGGCTCCAACAGTATTAACCGCAGTGCAGCCAATCGCGCGCATATCGCGTGAGCTTGCGCGGGAGTAGGCGCGCGGATTTGAGTCGCCGACCTATACGGACGCCCGTCCAGAGCCACTATGGCCGAGGCTGTCATCAGAGCTCGGGATAGTGTGGTCTCATCTGAACCTGTTCTTTCTACCTGTAGTTCGAAATGCGAGATTATTAGGAATACTATTATAGTTAACAACTGAAGTTATCATAAATGTATTCTAATTTGGAACTGTTCTTTAGAAGTTATAGCAAAAAAAAAAATCATAAAATATTTAAAAATCTATGCTAAGTTGAAGTTTTTCTTCTTCTTGGCTTGTCACGATAAGCGTTTCAGCCACTTACAAAGTGTTTTTGACTAAACTAAACTTGTTCTCAAAACGAGGAAACATTTTATCATAGTAATGAAATTTGGAAACAGGATGGAAAGTTGCAAGTTTGTACAACAGCTTTAAGGCCCCATATGCAGACGATTCCTCGTTTCGATTTCCATTCGATTATCGTCACGATAATCGTATCGGTCTGTCGCTACTCTCCTGGTTTTCTAGGTAATCTTTAACAACATAAACATACACTATCGATTCCTCGTTCGGTCAGTCTGAAACGCGCAACGATCGTGAAGACTGATCGCACCGTATATGGGAGCGTTTGTCGTTCACTTGCTGGTAAAGAAACTGTGCTTGAGTGTGGTTACCTCAGCGGCGACGGCGCGTAGCATCAGCCTCTCCGCAGGTGCGCAGGCCTGTATGGCCGCGACGGGGGCTCCGGCCGCCGCTTCGGCCAGCGCCTGCTGCACGTGCGCCAGTGCCGCACCGCCAGGGCCAGCCAATTCCAGCGCACGACTGCAGAGAGCTAACGCGCGGCGAGCGTCACCCGACACTGCTGCCACTTTCCTGGAATTTGTTTACATTATTTATCTCAGTGTATACAGCTCGTAAAGTTAGCAATAGCTTTATTAGGCGATCATGTCAGATATACAACAGCAGGTTCTTGGATGTGGATATTTTCTGTAATTCGTTGTCAACATTTAAAACTAAAATTAAACACTTGTTCTATATATTTATGATAGTCTTCTTGTGTGGTTAAGATTTGAACTGCATTATAAATAAAGGAAACCCTAGGTCTACTTTATACAGTGTTATTTTTTAAATGCTAACAATACTAACATCATAAACAATACAACAAAAACAAAAGTTACAAAAATAAACTTTTTAAGTTTTTGTTGTACTTGTGACACTTTTTAGATCTGTATTTGGTAGTAAGGTAGTTCAAGCGTGCAAGCTTCCTCCGCGCGATTACGTCAATATATTTATTTTTGTAGTCAGATCTGATGAATTATTAAAAGTCATGGAACAAAAGTTGTTTATGAAGTTAGTAATATAGTAATAATAATAATAAGGCGCACACACTCACAGCCCCGCACTAGAGAAACCATGTATCGCGGGTGCCATGGACATACACATACACAACCACAAATTACACCCAAACCCACGGGAGAAATAAATGTAGGCGATACAAATATTTCTCCCGGCCCGGGAATCGAACCCGGGACCTCTGCGTGGCAGTCCGGCATGATAACCGTTCGGCCACGGAGAGGATATTTTTGTTAATGTAACAATACTTTTATTTACCGATTGTTTGTTTCTTGAATAAATAAACAAAACATGAACCTAGCAATCAACTGTACAGCATCCGCAGTAACATTAGCTCCGGCCAGTCTCGTAGCCACGATGCACTGCAGCTGCGTGTGGGTATACGGCGGGAATGTAAGGCGCGTGAGACCTAGACGCGACGCCACGCGCGCAGCTAACGCTCGTTCAGGGAGATCCATAGTGTTGGCAACGGCTAGAACGGTAAGCAGCGCAGAGTTGTGCGCCGCCCATTCCATTATGCTGTATAGGACGTCTTGCCGACGCGTGCACAGAGCGTCCAACTGAAATCGAATAGATAATACATTTATTTAGCACAAATACAATCAGAAGCAAAACATTTACAATTCACAAAGTGGATATAACACAAAATCACATAGAACATACATGATTAATTTAGACACATTTATATAAAACACGTACTGTGAGTAATAAACAAACAAATAAAGTTTGTCCTGAAACGGCCCTGACTCAGCATAAATACTGTAGACTGAAAAGGCAAACAGAGCTGGTTTTCTGTCAGTACCATATGGTGAGCGATTGCAACCCAATAAGTCATGCCACCAAAGTGCATCACACGCAAATACATATACCTAACTCTAAAACTATTATGTATCAAATAAAAATATTGATGGTTCTATGCAAAGTTTATGAGGCTGTTCACTGACCTTTGAGTATTTTATTAAACTGTTTGTAACAAGTTCATCAGTGGGAAGTGTAGATAAAAATATATCGGACAATGAATATGTAGGTCATACCAAGTCTATTTCGGTAGCACATCGGTTTGCACTGTGGACGCTGAATCAGGAGGTCCCAGGTTCCATTCCCGGTACGATGCTCAGCTCATAGTACAGGGAATCCCCTAGTTTTAAGACTAGGTAATTGTTGTGGTTGTCTGGCATATTTTTATAGTTGTACCACAAGTTGCGGTAATTGAAAGTTATGCCATGTGTATTGAAATCGTACCTCATCAACAAGAAGTACTGTTGGCATCCTGCGAGGCCCAGGATTTGTAAATCGTTTCTCCAATAGGGAACATGCTTGTTCCCATACAACTGTTTTACCTAAAATATTAACATGTTTCATATCACATAATTATACAATTGCGGTCTCTCTAATATAAAGTACGAGATTAAGTAACAATGAATAAAGCTTCAGCTTGTATATGAATTCCAATTTGAAACGTTTCTATACCTGTGAGCTGTTTATATATCTGCACATAGGCCTGCCGCGGTTCCGCGATCCTCATGCCATTCACTTCCACCAGCTGGAAGTCGGGCAAGTCCACTTCTTCCTTCAAGAACTTGAGCGCAGTACACACTGTGGCTGTTTTGCCTGTACCTGGCACGCCTGATATGTACATGCAACTAGAAAATAAGAATTTCATCTTTTGGGTTGGTAGATCATTATTTTATATAAATGTATATTACATGTATGTATATACCAAAAAAGACTCTTTTTGAGTAGGTAAAATACACACAGTATTTGAAGTTGTTTGAACATTTTACAAGTATGCTGATAGTTCATAATAATCAAAGCTAAAAATATTTTTTATTATTTTTTAATTAATAGGTCTTGTTGAAACTTGTCAGTAAAACAGGGCCACAAGTTCAAAAAATGTTCTTTTTAAAACTAAGACTGTTGGCTCAACCATCTAAATAGAAATGTAGGTACTTGAAAATCCTACTGGACCCACTAGTGAAACAAATCAGTAGAACCTATAGTCCAAAACATGTATAATTTCATAGAAATAAATTTTGGTAGACCTAAATTAGATAACCTGAATTCATGGTTCATTAATATAATTGAAGATCAAGTAATTGAAGTTTTTGGTGTTATTTTACTTACCCACTAGTACCTTCCAATAATTTTGTTTTTACAAACGATAATATTTCTTCCAATTGGTGCTCTCTACCAGGAAGTGATTTGTTTTCTTTCAAGAATTCTGAAAGTAACAAATCTAAGTAAATCAGGAAGTATTTCAAAATGTCCATATAGAATGATCAAAGGATTGTACCATCAAGATTATCCAAAGAATGAGCTCTAGAATGAAGTGTAGGTGTCAGTTCACTAGTAACAATTCTTCTTGTGATGTTTCTCTTTGGAGTTCTTCCAGGTGTAGCCACTGATGTCCTGGGAGTTTTTGGAGTTTTAGGTGTCTTTGGAATTGGCTTAAAGTCATCATCGCTTTCTTCAGTGAATTTACGAACAGATTTTCTTGGAGTTCTTTTTACAGGTGAGGGATGTGGTTTGTCATAACTTGTAATAGGTTTAGTGACTCTAAGAGTTCTTTTAACTGGAGATAATTCTGGCTCTGCATAGCAAACAGGTTTCTTAATTCTACCAGATCGAGTAGTTGGGGTTTCTCCCTCATCATCAAATAAGAGTGTCTTTTTTGGTGTTTCATCATATGTTCTAGGTGTTGAAACTTTTCTCTTTGGCGTGGTTGACACATGTTGTCTGATGATTAAAGTAGGTAGTTCATCATCAGAGTTTTCCTTCAATTCCATTGATAAAATTTCTTCAATATTAGTTTTTGATAGTTGCCTGGAACTTTGCGGAGTCTCAGCTTTCTTTGGTGTCAACTTAGGTGTGTTTTTTTTAGGTGAATCTCTCTCAATCTTATCAGCTAATATGGCTCTTTTGAGCAGCAATTTTGTGCCATCATTCTTGCTGATGCTCCAGTTTTTTTCTGATATGGAAACTCTGCTCATTCTTTTGACTAAACTGCTTGGTGTTTTGGGTGTTCTCGGGGTGTTTTTAGCTGGTGTACTGAGTAACTCTAAGGCCTGTCTTTCCTGTTCCAAAACGGGTTCAATTTGTACTTTTCTTTTACTGATAGCCTTTAACCTATATCTACAAATATAGGTGTAATGGCCTGTCAGGTGCAATTTGGTGTCCTTTGTGAATGTGAGTGTGATGTTGCATTTTTTGAAGAAAGTCTCTATAGAGACATCTGTGTCGAAGGGTCGATGATCTTCTAGAACCTGAATGTAAAAGAATTTTTGTGGAAATCATCTGAGAAGCACTACCAGCAAAGCCTTCCCAAAACATTGAGAGTGATAGTAGTTAGCCCCATACCATAACAAGTTGATATTTCTTTTTGTTTGAAACAAGTGACCTGAGTGTCCTTGAAGTGGCCTTGTGGGCACTGGACGAGGAGGTCCCAGGTTCGATTCCTGGTCTACTTTTCTACTTTTACCAATTTGGAAAATAAACTTTTCTAAATTGGTTATAGTCTGGATGTTGTGGGTGGTATTAGTGAATTCTGTTGCTCTAGTACTCATAATACAGGGAATTCCCTACTTTAAGACCAATTGGTGGTTGTCTAGAGTATTATTTTGATCTAGATCTTAATATCTCGGGTGCTACTGGCCGCCGCATGCAAAAGGAACCCCCGATGGTAACACATCAACTTTGCTCGCAATGTTTCATATTGTATTGGTTTGGGAAAACATCAGCACGTACTAATTTATGACTAGCAATATTTACCTTTAATTGCAGTAAAAACTTGAAAAGGGTTTATTGTAAAACAAAAACACAAACAAAAAACAAAAATTAAACAGCATTACATACCTCTTTTTCCAAAAACTGTATGGGCTCAGTTTTGTTAAAACAAGAGGTAGGCAAGTCACCAGGCCTCGAGTACCACTGCACGCGGGCCCTGAACGGATCGCTGCTGTTGGTGGTGTCTTCGTAAAGCGCAATAATACGTGCCGCATCGCAACCGCCTTCAGTGTCTGGTTCTGCCGAATCTGCATTCGATATCAAGACAAAATCACCAATTTCACCAACAATATTCTTAAACTGGAACTTCCTATAACAAATTAACTCGTTTTAGTACATAATATTTTGTTATAAAAACTAAAATAATCTTAGTAACGGTTACCTACTTGTAGTATCGAAAAGTTATGCAACTTTTTTGTTCGGGAATTATTTCTTCACCCAGCCATGTTACTGTTGCACTAATTTGCTTTTTTCTTGGCATTTTGCTAGCAAAATTATATAAAATTTAAAAGAAATAAAAGTTTTAGGTTATATCAAATTTGTTGTTGTTGTCGGTGAATGTGAATTTTTCGCGCTAAATTATTATTAGTATTTTTTAAATACTTTTGGCTTGGATACAAGTCATCAGAATATTTGCTATCATAGTTTTAAATTCTAATACATTATGTTTGCTATTTCTCTTAAATATATTAGTTCACTTATTTGGGGTTTATTAAATAGTATTTTAAGCAGTGGGAGTCAATAGTTATGTTTCCTTTCACTTAAATCACATTATCTTCTATCACTTTGAACAATAACTTTGAATTCGTACAATGGAATTTTCAGGATAAAGTAATTTGGTTTAAAATAAGGAATATGGTTCTAACTTTTTTCATCACTATTTCTTTCTTCGTTTTTTTTTTCATAATATACTGAAAATAAAAGTAATCCTTGTAAAAATTGTACTCATAACTACAAAAATCCGCCATTTTTTCACGCTAAATTAATCGACTTTTTGCACTATTGCTGAGATGTATACAATCGAGATTTTGTGCAAGTTTACCGATTTTCAAAAGGTTTGTTAAGGCAGCTACAATAAGAAAAATAGAACTTGACTAAAGATTAAAAAGCTCTTCGTGAATAAAAATTAAATGTCAATGTCATAAGCATGTTGTAGGTTGGGCTGTATGGCATTATGCCAAAGCCGTTAAAACTCTACATGTTGTAGGTTATGGTCAGTACATGTGTTTTTGTGTATTTTTGTGAAAATATCTCCTAATTTTAGCTATAAAAATGAAGTTAAAACAGAAAAAAAGTAGTAGACTTGTTTTATCTGACAAAATAGCAGACGCTCTAACTGTTAAAGCGAGAGCAGACATCGAGGATGACCAAGTATTTGACACCAAACCTAAAACTGTATCTCGGGTTGATTTAAACTCTTCCGATAGCGAAGACGAGGCCGCTATTAGTGATTTTCGCAAAAGAAACATAAACTTATTGAGTGATATTAGTAAGAAATATGATGGTCAAGTAGTTTCACGGAAAGAGCTTGCTGGAAGTGAGGACGGAAGTTACGAAGAAAGTGACACCGAGGATGAAAGTAACTTATTGACTGCTAAGGATCTTTCGCTGGACGACATAGAAGAATCCGCTGATGAGTCCGCTGATGATACAAATAAAGAAAATGGTACGAAACTGGAACCTCAAAATTCTGTACCAAAATCACTACAACTTGAGAGTAAATCTAATATATTATCCTTAATTCAAAAAACAAGAAAACAGATCCAAGAATCAGATTTGGAAGATTTGTCATCAAATGAAAGTGAAAATGATGATTGTGACGTCAATGAACGTCAAACACAATTGGAATCTTCCAATAAAGAAAAAAAACAATCATCATCTCAAATTAAATGTAAACAAAAACAGGAATCAGAATCAGAAGATTTGTCGTCAGATGAAGGTGAAAGTGATGATTATGATATAACACAATTTACAAAACAAATTCAACTATCAAAGGAAAGTTCCAATAAAACCCCTAAAAAAACATCACAGCCTGTAAAAAAATCTAAGTTTAAATCAGGTTCCAAAGAATTACCATCAGATGAAGAAGAGAGTGATGATTATGGTATCAATCAGTTTAAAAAACAAATTCAGGGCTCTGATGATTATTCTTATGATAATGAAAACGATTCTGATAATGATGGAGGATCAGATGATGAAAACGAAGAAGAGGGGTATGACATCAGTCAATTGGATGAACCGATGAAGGAAGAATTTGAACATGTAAAGAAACAAAATATTTCTGAAGAAGTGAAAAAGGGAACAAGTGTTAGGAACCAACTGTTGTTATGGGAAGGTCTTTTAGAAATGAGGATACATTTGCAGAGGTGTATGAATATGGCCAATCAGTTACCTTTACCTGATACTTATCTGGAGTTGAAAGAGAACAATGACTTCACTGAGGAATGCAGTGCTGCTAAGGCTAATGTTGCCACTGTTTTAGATAAGTAAGTATTTGTACACTAAATTTATGTTATAATATTTATATTTTAAATAATTGGCATATTCAAGAGAAACACAGTATTGTATGATACATGCTGCATTTTTGTTGGTAAAATACAAAGGCATATATTATATTATATATATTCACAAAACCTTTTCATAGCACCAAGTCAAGTTGTCGTGCACTATGTTACCTTTCATTAAAGTGTAAGGTAAGGCATATACTACAATAGTATCAACTTGTCTATTTTATTAATCAATATTTGATCATACCAAAGTTTTTAAGTAAACTATTGCATACTTATTTAAAATTCGGTTTATAGAATACTGTAGAGTTCAAAATATATGGATCATAGAGTAGCTGGAATGGCAAAATTACTAACATCCAAAAGGTAAATATGCCACTTTAGTACTTTCGCCTTTCCAGGGACCATAAAATTAAAAAAGACAAAAGGCTAATGGTAGTTATATTATATGACCAAATAGATGAGACAAAGACATGAGTGGCTCTGCAGTTGGTATGGGCACTATAAGATTAAGTCTGATTCTGAGTAGAACTAACACTTCTTTAATCTTCTTCAGTTACTCTTCTGAGAGTTATTGGTTTTCTGGGGAAATTCTTTAGTTTGAGACCAAATTATTGGTATTTGTGTGTTTCTCAATTCTGGCGCATTATTGATATTGTTAGTTCTACGTTATTATATTTTTACGGTTATAGGTTTGAAAACAGGTCATACAGGCATAATTAGGTATTACAAATATAGAGAAAAGTTAGGAGAATCATATATGTCCTAACAATCGTTTATTATATCATTTCAGGTTTTTAAATCTACAGAATATGCTGTACAAAAATTTCCCAGAAACAAAAAACTTGTCAACAAAGAAACAGTCCACTGAAACAGAGCCAAATAAGAAAGAAGAGAGTGATGAAGAAATTCCAAGTGATACAGACAATGAGGAAATACCATCAGACACTGAAGGTGAAGAAGAAGAAAAACAGGAAGTCAAATCACCCAAATGCAGTGTAAAACCAAGTTCTACAAGAAAGCGTAAACTAGAAGAATATGGCAAAGAACTTGCAATGTCACATAAGGCCTTTAAATCATTCAGAGATTCAACTATTCAGAAATGGAATGACAAAACTAGACTTGCTACAGCAGCTAATATTAAAAATACACCAACAAATACGATTTTACAACAGATATCGTATATACTGTCTGATAGAGAGAAACTTATAAAAAGAACGCAATTGAAAAGGTCAGAATATGACATTATTGGGTATAAAAAGGCAGAAGATGTAGAAGAGAATGGAGATGCAAATCCTATGACTAAAGGCAGGAAAGAAAATGACGAATATATTTCTGAAATATTTGATGATAGTGATTTTTATCACCAGTTGTTGAGAGAGCTTATAGAATGTAAATCGGCAGATATTTCTGATCCAGTCCAGTTGAGTCGGCAGTGGATTGCATTACAACAAATGAGAAGTAAAATGAAACGAAAAGTTGATACAAAAGCTACGAAAGGAAGGAAGATTAAGTACGTAGTTCATAATCAATTAGTGAATTATATGGCACCTGAGAAATGTACCACTTGGACAGATGAGAGTAGAAATGAGTTGTATAGTTCACTGTTTGGTAAAATGTTTGAACATAATAATATTGGTTTAAATGCTAATGTAGAAAATGGATTTAAGTTAAAAGATTAGTTGTGTACTCAATAAAATTTTTATTATATGGAAATTAAAAAAATAATAATTAAATCCTAGAGTTTTATTATACATATATAGCGGAGGCCGTGAAGAAGGGAAAGAGAGAGAGAGAGAGTGAGAATTTATGTGCCAAATTTAATTTCAAATTTACCACGAGCTTTTCGGTAAAGGAAAACATCGTGATGAAACCTGCACGTCAAAGAATATTCAGAAAACGTCTGACGTCCCCAATCCGCACTGATCTGCGTGGCGGACTATGGCCTAAACCCTCGCCTGAGAAGAGATCCATGCCCAGCAGTGGGACAAAAATTAGTTGATGGTGTTTTCTTATACATAATTTTTTTTTATAATATCAAACAAGTACGGAACAAACAAGTCGTGCGCCTGTTGGTAAGCTGCACGCGTGTCCATAACAGTTGCAGTGCCACTCAGAGGTTTAAATCGCAAAGATCCGAGGGGCACACCCACTACGCCCGCCACCCTGTGAAGTCCCATGTGCCTGTAATTTCACTAGTACCCTTACACCTTAAAACTGGAACGTAGTAATGCTCACATTAGAAATACGTTCGCGCAGAAATACGTTCGGTGGGAGTACTTCCCTGGACGAACTCTTTCACAAGGAGCTCTATTGCTACAAAAAAAAAAATTGCTTTAGGTCGACGTAGTAAGTGTTTGACGATGGTGATTAAGTTTGAAATTTCAGAAGTTAAAATGAACCCCATGTTTTGGTTGTTGATTGCCAAACAATTCATTTCCCCTTATTCCTTTTCATCTTTATCATTTCCTAGCTGTCAATAGTGATGTCAAAAGCAATTTCAGCGCCATTCCTTCAGGGTCCAATAAATAAAATAAAATCATAATGAAAACAATAATATCGGTTTACGCAGGTCATGTATACCGAACGGCTATGAGGAGTGAGCGTGGACGGCGGTCGCTGCGCACGTGATAGATAGGGTTTGTAAACAATGTGGGTGACTGGTAATTGACGCGATAATAACGGCTATACGTTGTCAACGCTCGCTATTTCTATTTCGCGGATTGTAAACAGTTGCGGAGGAAAATAGGTTATGAAATACGGTAGGTATGTAAATGCCTTGGGGTGGACTTTTTTTTCTGAAGTGTTTATTGAAAATACTACTACTTAATACTAAGTTTTTATTCTTTTTTTTTTGTTTTCTTTGAGAGTATGTATGAGAGGAGTATTTACTGAAAATACCTACTAAAGTAGTTAGTACTTCTTTATACTAAATACTTAATCCAATAAACATTAAGTCTTACCATTAAAGTCGTCCAATATGGAGGATGTGTAGGTGTTGATCAATAAGTATGCAATTTATAACTTAGCAGTCTGTTGTAATTTTTTACCTAAAGTATACGTTTAAAAATTATATTTTCCTTGCAGTTTAATAAATTATCTGTTAGGTTACTCGATTAGTTCAATTAAATAGTGATAGTGAGCGCTTGTTTTGCAATTCTAGTTGGTTCGATTCCCAGCTCAAGTAAGTCTTTTAAAAAATCTGTAAATTAATAGCGTTAGTTATTAATTTTAAGAAGAATTCTTTGAACAAAATTAGCTATCTTAAGTATTTAAGGTAGTTCTCTTTCATGTCCCATTGGTTTTTCTCACCCTGTATTTGCGTTTATTAAGTAATATGTGTGGATGCTAGATCAGGAGATTCCGGCTTCGATTCCCGGTAGGACCAGTTTGGGATACGAACTTGTGTATTATGCCGGAAGTAATTCAGTTACTCTGACTGGAGAATAATCGATGTAGTTATCATTATTATTATTAATTAAAGTCAATTATTAAATGGAAATTCAATGTGACCATTACTGCGTTCCGGTTTTGAAGGGCAAGGGTGCTGGTGAAATTGCAGGCCCATGAGACTTGTCAACTTATGTCTCAGCGTAAAGGGCGCAGTGGAAGTGCCCCTCAGATGTTTGCGATATAAAGCTCTAAATGGCACTGTAACTATTATGGATAGGCGTGTCGCTTAACCAGTCTTAACCAGGCGCATAAAGAAACAAATTCAAAACATTTAAACGTATAGAAAATTTAAAACTAATAAAAATTTGAGTTCTGACCTATCTGGAGAGGCATGTTCGAACTCTGCTTCACAACGGTGTACGTAATTATAAGCGTAATCAAGATTTGCGTCTGTGGCTTGACGCGTATATCTGAAATTTGATAATAGTTTAATTAATTTGGTAGTTCAAATATACCCCTTTCCAGTCTGAGTAGGCTGTACCTATCGAATTTTCTAACGCAATTGTACATAGCATAATGAGTTTTATGTCAATTGTATAATGTACAAACTAGATACTATACGGTAGCTGTGGGAATTTCCTCGGAAATCAACGCGAGAGTTCTTTGGAAGATGACTTACCCGTTTAAAGGCTCGTATCTAGTTTATAAAAATTCATTGTGCTAGAGAACAAAACTTCCCTTCCTATCCTTACGGCGGCAATGCAAATTGAGCCTAAGACCCTGTTGCAAAACTGCTGATCATCTTGAAACTCGCCAGTCTTCCGATGTTTGATATGAAATATTTTTCTCTCATTTACAAAACTCAAATCATAGTATGTATAATAATATAAGTACGGTAACTCCATACAAACGTCTGACGCGTTCCATATTCGGACGCACACTTTTGCATAATCTCGCGATGCATTCGCATTACATAGCGCTGGTCGTCTCATTTTTTATTATTATGCGAATGTATGCATCCGTACATGGCGTGCGTCGGCGGGCGTGTACTCAAAAAAGCCGCGCTGCTGCGTACGAATCAAGTTACCAACTTGTTATTTTTTTACATTTTTTTTTATAACGCATACACTCATAACCCCGCACTAGGGAAACCCTGTGTCTCAGGTGCCATGGACGCACACATAGACAACCACAAATGACGCTCAAACTCACGAGAGAAATAAATGTAGTCAATACAAATTTTTCTCCCGGCTCGGGCATCGAACCCGGGTCCTCTACGTGGCAGGTCAGCATGGTATCCGTTCGGCCACGGAGATAGAGTTGTACTACGCTAAGACCCTGTTGAAAACTCCTAACCATCTTGAAATCCGCCGAAGACTTGTGATGTTCAGCAGGGACGCGTTTCACAAGCACATGAACCATTTACGAAACTGAAACTCTCTCTCATTAATTAATTCAAAAAGTTCATCACCTTGAAAGCATATCGATAAAAAAAGACAAACTAGAAAATTGTCATCAAAATCATTCGACATTATCTTACACGTGTACATGTAAGTACATACATATTATTCATGGCATTTATTTGCTACCAGAAAAAAAATCATGAATGTGAAAATTGGTAAATATCTCGTTTATGTCTTTTTAAATTTGGATCCTGCAAATAATACAATTCCGGGAACTATTGTTGTTTGTCGATGCGTTAAATACGTCATACAGTTTTGTAGTAAAATCGTTTGGTAAAATAGAAAACTCTATGCAAAATATACAAGTGTGGAATTAGATATTGCGACTCGACAGTACTTATTTAGTAGCAGTAAAATTCCTTGTGAAAGAGTTCGTCCATCGAAGTACAATACTATACAATACAATATCTTTATTTGTGTTCCACAATGGTGTACAAGGTGTTATGTAATAGTAAGTTCACACATCATGGACCCTTTCGGGCACAACATATAGAAGGGAAGAGAGTAAGGACTGTTTTCAAATACAAAAACTTTTTTTTAAAGAGTTCCGTTAAAAAATTCTTTAATATCATAATAGCATTTATTTATTAATAACTCTTAGTTTTAAAAAAAAATATACTATAATTAGTTTCGTTTCTCAGTGCATCAGGTAGTTGGTTAAAATTTTTATCGCCATGACATATGGGCTAGAGGAATGCAGAGTTAATAGTGACATTGGGATTCCAATTAATCTATTTTTGTGACGTAATAAAAATTTTGATTTATTGTCTTGACGGCGTTTAAAAAATATATATATAGGGAAGCGTGAGTAACTTGTTCTTCTGGAAGTGAGGTCGGCAACTATCTGTCTCTTTGAGGTTTGCTATTGTTCTAATTAGCTTTTTTTGCAACACAAATAGAGATGGTACTTCGGTACTATTGCCCCACAGTATTGTACCGTAAGTCAACCATGAAAATGCAAACGCATAATAAACAGAGAGAGCAGTAGAGCGGTCTGTGGATTTTGTTATTTCTTGTAGAGCGTATGTAAATCTAGATATCTTAGTATCGACTTTTTGTACGTGTTTTTTCCAATTAACATGTTTATCAATATCTAACCCTAGTACTGTTGATTCATTGACTGATTCAATTTCTAACCCATTGTAGCTAAAATTAAATTTTAGCTTTAGCTTTATTTTTAATTAAACTTTTTTTGTGAGGATGAAAGATCATTATTTTCGTTTTTAAATAATTAATTTTTAAATTATGTTCTTGCAACCATGTCGTAACTGAATTTATAATAGTCGTTACTTTCTCTGATAGATTTGAACTATTGTCACAATTTGTTAAAAGTGAAATGTTGTCTACTGCGAATAAGACACAGTGTACATTTATAACCCTTGGCAAATCATTGATGTAAATTAAGAATAAAGGGCATGCAGCTACACTGCCTTGAGGTGTTGACGGGTTTATTATTTTTCTATCTGATTGAACAGTTGTTATTAATTTTCTAGCTCTATCATAATGTTCAACAGTAATGTGCAACATTGTTCAAAGTACTGCCACCTTACCTATTTTTGCCGCCAAGCAGTAATGTGAGCACTACTGCGTTTCGGTTTTGAAGGGTAAGGGTTCTGGTGAAATTACAAGCACATGTGACTTATCAACCTGTCTTAGGGTGCCGGGCGCAGTGGCAATGCCCCTCAGCTCTGAGTAGCATGAGTAGCACTGCAACTGTCATGGATAGGCGTGTCGCTTACCACCAGGCGCACGATTTGGTATCATAAAAAAACTTATCCGATGTGTTAGGGTACGTCATATTTCTTGTATTTAGTGATAAAATCGCT